GCCAGATGTGTGGCGCGGTGGTGAAATCCTAGTGCAATATTCTCATTGGTTTGTTGTTTGTTTGTTTTTGCTACTTGTATGATTACACTGAATTTTATTATGATCATGGAAGTGACTTGTTTTTGAGCTATGAGCTGCATGTTTCTATACCTTTTGATTTGTGTCAATTGTCTCAAAAATCGGAGCTGGTGGGAAGTCTCAGTTTTGTTTCATTTTTATTAATTTTGGTTTTTTAACTTCTGATTATATTTTTACAATCCTCCTTGTGATGTCATGAGTTACACAATCTTTCTGAACAATATAAAGTTTCAATAATAGTTCATGTTTGATCGAGTGCCTATATACATAGTAATCAATGTACGCGTGTGAGCTTTTCAAGAGCTTGACTTAAAGGACACTCTCTCAATATATTTTAGTTTTGAGCATTACTACATAGATCAAGCTTTTGCTTCTTTCAGTTTTTATGCATTTGTTATCATTGTTTAAGGGAAGAATGCTTACCTGCATAAGGGCAAATAGTGCTAAGTTTTCGTGTGTTTCATATTCAGTTTTTTTCTGCCCTGCCCCTCTGTCTTTCCCCCGTGAAATGTTGGATACTTATTGCCTGGTGCAGTTTGCTCCAGGGAGAGAGAGCTCATTTTTCCACCTAAGTGTTTCCTACTACTTGTGTGAGCTTTCCTTCATACTCACTTCCCTGACTAGTCAGTCTTGAGAAACACAGCGCTGGTGAATTTCTTCAAACTTTTGACTTTCTCGTGCTCATGTCTGATACCAGCTGTGACCTTGCTGTTGGACAGCTTTACCTTCCCATCTCCTCCCATCCTGTTTCCATGGCTACCCCCGAAAGACCTTGTTGGACTCCACGACTGTTGATTTGTGTGAGTGAGTGTTTCAGTTGTTTATGTTGATGAAGAGAAAAATGTCTGCCTATCAGAACTTTTTCTTGCTGAGTGTTACCCAAACTAATTTTTATGAACCGAAAGTCTATGCAAACTTGTGGAGTTGTAATTTTTATCTTTCAAACTTTTTGAAATTCATTTAGTTGTGTAAATCAGTTTTAAGCCCCAAGGCAATAGCATCAGAGCTGTCACTTCTATCCAGATTGTTATAAAACATCACTATTACTTCCTGTACAAATATTTTTAATATATTTTTTAAACAGTTGAAAATGTGACGTTCAAACTAAGAAGTATTTTCAGGGACGATTACTCCTGCCATGATAGCACTGAATGTGAAGTGAAAAGTGGGGACAGGGAAAGATGTTTTCAATATAAAGGTTTTACCAAACTGGCCGTCCATTGAATTGTTCAAATCTATGCACAGTATATCTTAAATTGTATTGATTGTTCAAAATGCAACCCGATATACTTTTTGTGTCTCACGTTATTGTCAAAGAGTCCTCAAATGTTTTTTTTAATGCATATAAATGCCAAATGTTAATATCTTCAAATTGTTTGAAAATCTCTTTGGTAAATAATCCTGACTCTATTGGATTGTCCTCAAGCAGTTTGTAACATACAAGACGAGAGGGCACATGACTATGCAAAACAGTCATGCAAATTTTTTACTTTGTTTTTTAGGTCTTTGTTTAATGAAAGAAGTGATAAGAGACTTTTTGTGCTGCAAGTTGTGAATGTGAGCCCAAACTACTTAAATGGGTTTTTTTAGTCTGAATATAATGAGCTTGTTGTTTTGTGTCATTTTACTTCATGAAAATAAAAAACAAACAAAATGATGTGGGTGCTCAAATTTCAAAGTTTTGATCACCAAATGAACTGTGACAAAAAGTCAGGGGCGAGGAGGGAGAGACAAAATTGTCTGGAACAACCAACCGTTTTCGTCAACCACACATACAATCTTTGTTGACGTTGTACACTTTATCTATGGGTGTTCTTCCTCGGGGAGTTTCTGTGCCTGGTGTGTGTGTGTGCGTGTGCGTGTGTGTGTGTTTGTGCGTCTGAGTGGTGCATGGCTGAGGGTCTGACGGATGTCTTTCCACTCTCTGCAGGAATCCCTGAATTACCAATTTGACCTTTCATGTTTTTTCTTTTCACCCCAGACGTTGTGGGCTTTGTTTTTAGTGTACCTTACAGGTTCCTGTTCCTTCTATTGTCTCTGACTCTCTGACTCAGCATTTATGATTATGCCACTTTTGATTTCACATTTGGTGAAATGACTGTATGAATTCATTTACAAAATAAATTCAGTAATTTATTACCTTCAATCTAGTTTGGCTTTGATGTCTTTAAGGCTTCTGTTCCACCTGCTCGGGCTTTGAAATAAAATTTGATACAGGGTCAGGGGGCTCTCGTGGCCTAGAGGTTAAGGTGTACGCCTCTCATTCAAAGGTCCCGGGTTCGAATTCGAATCTGGGTAACGATGGGAAAAACTTTTTTCTCTAAAATTGTCTCCTTTCATATCCTTTCCTGCACTCTAGCAATTATCTGTCACGTCTGCTTTCGTCTTCGCTTTCTGCCCCTACCCCCTCACCTCTTTTTTCCTCTCCTCTGGGCTCCTAACTCTTTCTGCAGCCTTTCTACCACTGCTCTTTGACTCCGTCTTACTGCTGTCTTTCAGTCTCACCCCTGATCTTCTGGTAGGAAAGATTTACACCTAGCCTCGGACAAGGGCGGAAAAATATCGGAGGTCCATTGTGCAAGCTGTGCACCTTAAAGATTCCTTTGAGGTCTAAAATCGAAAAGAGTAGGCTTCGGCCGCCACCCGGGCAAAATTCCAAATTTCCTACCAACTGAAAGTTTGGTGTGTCCTGCGCGCTCATATGACCTTATGCAGTTGCACAGAATGCCACGGTGTAGTCACTTCTGCGAAACGATGTCCAGGGAGATGTCGTACACTTATCATCTGCCCAACCGACAGATATCCAGAAAGCCACCATATGGCACATTGGTAGGAAGTACACACTTTACAATGTTTACAGCCCCCCACAGACAACATGCGACTTGTCTGATCTGCAAGCAGCCTACTATGAAAAAACCATTTGTGCGGGTGACTTCAATGGCCACTCCCCTGAATGGGGCTACGTCAACTATAAGGGCACAGGCCAAAAGATTGAGGGCGAGCGCCGTAAAACACCTACCAAAAAAACAAAACAAAAAATACAGGGTCAGTAATGTGACCAGTGCATCTACCTTGGCTGGGAGGTCACCAGCGTCTGTGGTGTAGCCGTTATTGTGTCACGCGCGATAGTCCCGGGTTCTTTTCCCAAGTGGGGAGATTTTTTATGGAGTATCTGCGAGCTCCGTCTCTTTGCTATGATGTTGTACCCCTCTCAACTCAGGTTGGCTTTGACTGACAGGTATGGTCCCCTGAATGAACTGAGTTGTGTCGACGGGGGAGTGAAAACAGGTGCATATTTTAATGTTATATCTAGTTCCTGGCGTCCCCTCTTCTAGGCCTGGGGCCAATCATTGTATTATTTAAACACCTCGTGTCAAAACTGGGTGGTTGGCGGGTGCTCTGGTGTGGTTTGCTTCTTCTTTCATATCAAACATCTATCGTTTTTATCTCCCCTCAAGCGTTTTTGTGTTTGTTACTCTCTTGTAACGCCTCTATTCTTCGGCACTTATATGACCTTATTGTTTTGCAAGTGTCGTAAAACTAAAACACTTGCTAAAAAAAAACTGGGTGAAAGCATGCCGACTGCATTTCCCAGTTTGACTTGCAGGCTAATTGTAAATGTTTAATGCTCCCTTTGACTCAATACTGAGGTCTTTTAGGGGATTGGCTGCTTCAACTCTTACCTCAGGGCCAACACAGGCTGAGATGGATACAACATCCCAGCAGACAGTCAGAGGAACAAATTTGCTGTGGCATGATGAACAAATTTGCTGTGGCATGATGAATACTCTCACTCGACAACACACACATACACACCCCCCCCCCCCCCACACACACACAAACACACACACACACACAAACACACACACACACACACACACACACTTACATACACAGACGCACATAAATAATGTGGGTGGTTGGCAGGTGCCATAGGTCTTTAAGACATTTCAAGACAGGTGTTGGACAACACTGAGACTGAGAGACAACCAAAATGCAAACAGCCTGGTTTATTATGATAATATCCCAATACATTGTACAGAGTTTGGAGTTTGGAGCTCGACTGAAAGAGAGAAACTCAGCTATACATTAATGGCAAAGATCATTTCGTTGTTAAAAGTAAGACGTACAGACAGTCCGTCTGTTTGTCTGAATGAAGAGTAAAGAGAGCGGGTGGTTGCTAGGTACTCTGGTGTAGTTTGCTCTTTTTTTCCTATCATATATCTTTCGTCCTTATCTCTCCTCCTCCTTTTTTAATTTAAAAAAAAATTGTTTGTTACTCTCTTGCAACGCCTCTGATCTTCGGCACTTAGAAATCTACATGACTTACCTTAGAATTGTGCGGCAAATGCCGTAAAACAAACACACACACACCCTAAAAAAAAACAACCAAGACACACGAATGAGATGTTTAGGGCCTTACTAGTCTTTCTTTTGTTTCAGCCCAGCGCCTTATGGCTCGGTCCGATGTTGAGCTGTCGGTTGTCAGACAGTGTGTGTGTGTGTGTGTGTGGGTGGTTGGCGGGTTCTCTGGTCTGGTCTGCTCCTTCTTTCCTATCAAACGTCTATCGTCCTTATCTCCTCTCCTTCTTTTTTGTGTTTGTTACTCTCTTGTAACACTTCTAGTATTCGGCACTTGTATGACTTTATTGTGTTGCAAGTGCCGTAAAACTCTTACGAAAAAAAAAGACAGCGTATGTGGTGTCAGGTCCCTGGAAAAGGGAAGTTACGTATTACATTAGGGTAGAGCAAACACAAGTTTAGAAGTTTAGGGTCGCGCCCACTACTGATAAGACGGCGATGGAATCTCGAGTATGGGGGCGGTGGGAGAGCTGGGGAGGGGTGGGGGGTTCCTATTTGTCTTTTGTCAACATTGTTTTCGTTGACACTGTGCTTAGCTTTGGGGTGCTTTATTGCACCTTTATCGAAGTCGGATTTATTTTCCTCCCGTTGTTTCTTCAATTTTGGTTGTGTGTTTTTTTAATCCCAAAGAATGCTTCTATCCTAGTTAACGATGGTGAAAATGGAAAAACGAAGAAAACATAAAAGATGAAGAGGAGTGATATCCCCAAGTGGGTTTGATGGTAAAAAGTGAATCCGTGGGTGGTTGGCGGGTGCTCTGGTGTGGTTTGCTTCTTCTTTCCTATCAAACATCTATTGTCCTGATCTCCCCTCCTTCTTTTTTTGTGTTTGTTACTCTCTTGTAACATCTCTAATCTTCAGCACTTATTTGACCCTATTGTGTTGCAAGTGCCGTAAAACTCATACTAAAACTAAAGTAAACCCACTGTTCCACTAGCAGGAGATGAAATGTCACCCACGAATATCTTCACTCAGGCACGAATGGGTGATATTTGGGTCTTCTTTCCCCCATTCTTCCTTCTTCTTTTTTTTCTTTCTCCGAGCAAACCGGGGAATTTTTTGTTTTTTTATTTTTTTAATTAATTTTTTTTAAATCAGCTGTCACACCAACATGAATACCCTTTGCATGTCACAAGATCTCTGACGTCGTGGGGTGGCATCTTTTGTCTGTTCTTGCAATGTCTTATGCCCATCTATAACGTCTTTCCGATCTGTCGGCTGAAGGTCCCGTCCAGCAAAAGATGGACCTCAAATCTCAGCAACTGTTTACCGTGCCTTGAGGTGCTATCCGAATACCGTAGAATGGGATCACGGGGGCTGAGTTGAGGCTTCCCTCACCAAACGCCACTTTGTTTTGTTTTACAGACTTCAACATAAGTTAAGGACCACTTGCAAGCGTACAGCGTGGTCTTCTTGGGTTGACCTGCACATGGGCGTTCTTGGACTGATCCAGTGGCTTAATGGCACTGCTGCTGCCTCACACTTCAAGCTTTCTGGCAACTGGCAACTTCTCGGACTTCAACTCCATGCTGCAGTCATGTCATAACTCTGGTTCGATCAAAGTCTCTCAGCATTAGTCTTGGTGGCTTGTTGATGCGATACTGGATTTTGGGCAAAACGGCGGTTTATATTGCACCCAAAGTGAGCACAGTTCGAGACCGTTAGTCAGTTTATGACGTGCACCAGAAATTTTAACTGAGGAATGTCCGTGGTGTCGAGCACTAGTCGATAAAAAAACAGTGAATTTGGCTAAAATTCCCAAGGATTTCTGTTCTGCGCGTGGTGGTTTTGCCCCTCTAAGGCAGCTTTTGCAGTACGCTTTGGTAACCCATTAACACTTTCAGAGCAAAAAGTTTTGAAACATTCCTAGCTATCTTTTTTCGGATTAAAAAAAATCAGGACTGTCTGTCAATTTGGTCCTTAACTTGTGTTGAAGTCTGTAGTAGAGGTTCTACGGCGCTCGCAACAGCATAAGGTCATATGAGCGCAAGAAGATTAGAGGTGATACAAGAGCGTAACAAACATGAAAGAGAAGGAGGGGAAAGGACGAAAGATGTTTGATCGGAAAGAAGGAGCAAACCACACCATAGCACCCGCCAACCACCCACGACGCCACTTTGGCCCTGGGCTCGGTCTAGACGGGCGGCTGCAGTGGCCTTTTTTTAAGTAGTGTTTTTTACGCCCCCATCAACACAATTTAGATCATATAGGAGGCGGGCCTCAGACCCTGCCGGTCTGGGCCAAGATGGGTTGAGAGGGATTCAACATCCCTGCAGACTGACCGAGGTACACGATAGAAAGTTCTCCCCTTTCGGGAATCGAACTCGGGTCTCCTGCGTGAGACAGAGAACGCCTTACCGCTACAGTGCAGACGCCTGGTACAACAGCTTTTCCGTGTTAGACAGGCAGACAGACAGGCTGACAAACAGACAGACAGACCCAAAAACAGATGAAGGGGGGATAGAAAAAGAGATGGAGAGTAAGGAGGAACTAGGAGAGAAAAACGCAGACAAAGAGAGAGAGAGGGGGGGGAGACAGACAGACAGAAAGAGAAAGAGAGAGAGAGGGGGGGTCAAAGGGAGATATTGTTGTTACGGTTGTCCAACGCAATTTCTCAGTTGCATACACAGAAGACAACGACTGCATTGTAAAAAAGAAAAAGGTCTAGGAGATCCAGGCAAATACAAGAATCCATCGATTACTGGAGTTACCTGTGGATTGCGTTATTGATTTACTCTCTCACAGACAGTGAGCAAACAGGTGTGGCACCGTGCTTGCCTCTTTCTGTAAACGAAGAAGAGAAGGTCAGATTGACAGAAAGTGATTAGATCGACACTCTCACTCTTCCAACCGTTCGTCCAACCGCCTCCCCCATCCAACTGTTAGTCAATTCAGGAATTTTTCTGTCTGACCATAATTTGTTACTCTGAGCCCTAAATTATATAAATTACACAATAACTTATTAATAATTTAATTAATTCAGAAATTAATTCGCCAACCCTTTGATCTATTCATACATAGAGTTACACACCTCCATTCATCCGTCCATCTATCTATTTGTCCAGACACCCACCTATCTATCCATCAAACATGTTTTTTGCATATCTTTCATCCATACTCACCGGCGCCTGTGGTGGAGCAGTTAGGCTCTTTGCTGTAGCCACGCAGGAGACCCGAGTTCGATTACCGAAGGTGGAGAAAATTTGCTGCTTCAAGCATCTCTGTGGCATTGCTGTTGGGATGTTCTATCCCTCTTAGCCGAGCTTGCCCCAAACAGGCACGGTCGGAATCCTGCCTTCTAAATTATCAAAATCTGTTGATAGAGGCAGTAAAACACCTAAATATAAAAAACACATTTTTTAAAACCCTATAACTCATAGGAAAAACTCATAGGACGATCACATGATTTGAACATAAAAGGTGTTGTGAAGCATCCTCAAAACAGAACAATTTCACCTTCACCATGTGGGTGTGTGTGTGTGTGTGTGTGTGTGTGTGTGTGTGTGTGTGTGTGTGTGTGTGTGTGATGGTGGTGTTAAATGTCTACTGGTGTGTTAGTGTTATTCTATAGAGCGTGCGTGTGCACACAGGCGTTTTAATTTTTTTGGTATGAGACGGTGGGTATGCCACCATATAATACACATTTCCATGTGAATTTTACTGGAAAAACATGGTGTAAAGGCACAAAATATGTATTTTTTTTCAGTTTTCAAGGACTCTCCAGCTATTGAATTTACCAAACGTTGGCAGCCATGTTTTACCACTGAAACCAGGCTACCTTATCTGCTTCAAATGCAATTATCTTGGCTGCTATTCAAGATAGACAGTTTGTATTTTTTTTAGTTGAAAGCAAGGCAAAAGAACACACTTTCAGATGATACCAATAGCTTCACATGCCCCAAAATTGACGAGCACCTGATTCCACTGCGTCGTGACACAATTTTGAGTAGCCCTTAATGATGGTGGAGCCATGTGTAAAGTTTTATTGTAGTCATTGATTGTGTTCTGGTGTCGTTTATGTCTACTCATGTGTTAGTGTGTGTGAGTGTGTGTGTGTGTGTGTGTGTGTGTGTGTGTGTGTGTGTGTGT